GCAATATACAGACATATCTACATACATATCTACAGTGACATATCTACATGCTATACACAGGCTAAATCTTTATATATGTATATTCTGTTTTATCTATTTGATGTACACACAAAGGGAAATATTTCTGCATCTATAACATACGAACGTGTTGCTGGAAGTATGCCCAAGATATTGAGATACCATTAAATGTTAATCTTGGTTAAAACAAGCATTTTTCAAATAAATATGTGATTGCAGCTGAAATTGAAGGGTGCGTTAAACTATGGTGCCACTTGTTAGAACTTTCAAATTCTTTCCCAGTGTCATCTTTCATAATGTTTCCTTTTAAGTTGGTTTAATAACATAATCATTATTCAGAAATGAGCTTTTGTGAAAAATTAATAATTACCTTTGTCACTATTTATTTAATGAATCCATGGAAAGACTTCATTAAATTATAAATGCCTCGTTACTGATATCCTCATAATAGATTTTTGAAATTATGGTGTGAGCCAGTTATCCATTTCAGGGAAGATACAATGCTGAAAGATCAGTACACGTCCAGTGAAATTACTGCTGGTTTTGCTAATGCAATATTCATGAGAATTTGCCAGAGACAATCACATTTAATCCCAGAGAATAAGAATTTGAAATGAATTCTTTTAAATTGTAATTATCCATTGGTAAGAATCTTTAGCAAGTTTTATTGTTTATATAATTGAAATGGCTTTCTATTCTATCAACATGGGAGGGATGTGTTTTGAGAATATTTACAATTTCTGAATGGAATCATAAATTTAGGTACTAAATATGATTGATATTAATATTTTGTGTTTTCTATGCATGTTTAATGTATTTGTTTTCAGGGAAAAATTTACCCCGTGGCTACCATTTATGATTAAATTGTTTTGCAAGGATGTGATGCAATCTGGGTGAGGTAATAATGCCTTAATTAGAGTAGAGTCTGTTGTTGTGTTGTATGCAGTTCTGTTCTAGCTGATGCTGGAGTTTGAATTCATGAGATATCAAAGATGTTGCAAGTTCAAGGACCAAATTAACATATTCAGAGGAAGATGACCATCATTTCAAAGTCAGAAGATTCCCAAGCATTACCAACCCTCATTGTCTCTTAATAGTTTGTTTTACTGTGTTGCAAGAAAGGCATTCTGTGAAATCTAGGGATTTCTGTGTCCTAGAAAATAAGCATTTTGCATTTCATATTGCAGAAAATCTAGGGATAAGGTAAAGGCACTTTTTTAGTTTGGTGCATTTTGGACCTTTAGTATTATAATGCTTCTCTTCACAGAACTTGAATCTCCTTAAGGATTAGAACTCTGAGAAAAATAGACTATTATAGCCTTCTTACCTGAACAAGTAGGAAACTTTAAGAATTTCTTTCAGTCTATTCTGGGAGAAGAAACATGTCTGTAATAGAAGAGGCCCTAAAACAATGGGTGACTATTGTTTTTCAACTTTATGTTGAAAGATCTGATTCCTAGGATACAACAGGAATCTAAATATGTTCTATGGAATATTTCTTCCTGACCCCAGTGAAGTCCAGGGAAAGTTTCAACACTACTTTGATCACTCTTGGATAGTAAAAAATGTCATCTGTTTTCTCTTAGATATAAGAAGTAACTTCAGTTCACTCCTTTGTAATAATAAATATGACTTCAGTTAAAGCCAGTCCCTAAGCCCTGCTTGGGCTGACTTGGAGCTGCCACTTGCACTGGGTGAGGGAACAGCGTTGTTTCTCTTCTTGTTCCCATGACATTCATTTCTCTTCCCCCTCCCTGTCTCCTCCAGGGATGAAACAGAAGAAAAATGGTCTTACTTGGCTAATACAATAGTAACCATCTAGCTGGGCTTAGCCTATGCTTTATACTGACTCTGAGGAGTACTTTTTGGGGGCATTTTGGTGGGCTCTTTAGTGCTCTGAACTACATCATTGGACTTTTTTTACCTGCAATTCCCTTGAGAAGGGTAGATGCTCCCCCTTCAGATGGCCATTTAGAATTTCCACCTCACTCACCACGCACCTGTTACTGCAACTCAGTTGAGTGGTCTTCACCACTCATCGCCCTTCACCCCATTGGCTGTCTTGGATACAACACAATTCTGTGCTGGTTTTCTAACCCATCCCCCAGTGTCAGTGCTCACATGTCCCATGTTCTAACANCGGGTTCTTTCAGTTGAGTGGTCTTCACCACTCATCGCCCTTCACCCCATTGGCTGTCTTGGATACAACACAATTCTGTGCTGGTTTTCTAACCCATCCCCCAGTGTCAGTGCTCACATGTCCCATGTTCTAACAAACTCATCCACAAGTGGCCCCTGCTGCAGTAATATCTTTGCTCTGCCATCAGTTCATCACCCAGTCACAGTCTTTCCCCTGGAATATTTCTCAGGCAAGAGCCAACCACTGGCACCAAATTCCAGGAAACAAGAACCAAACTTTCTGAAATTCTACCTTCCACCTTGGACATACATGCAAATCCTATCACATCCCAATCCTCCTCCAGAGTCCCCTTCTAATTATCAATCTCCTCTTGGCCTTTCTTTTCTCTTTAATGGGCTGGAAATAGATCTCAAATTTAGGGTCCTGAAAACCATTTTCAGTGCTTTCTTTTGCAGGTCTGGCTTAGTCAGTCTTTTACCTCATTTTGTAAAATGAAAGTAGCAATCTGTTGTTTTTTTATTTATTATCATCTCAAGATGGCAGCTGAAACTGAGACCAAAAAAAACCACCATTTTATTTTAACATCCTATTACATCCAAATATTAGTTACTTACTGTCCTCCTCTGTAAAATTATTATAAATACACATTGATGGATACATATGTATAATCTGCAAGGCATGATGCAAGATCCTATGGTGTCCCTACTGTAGCAGGAAAGATAAAACAAGTAGTAAAGAACATCTAGAGTTAGTAAATCTGCTCACTGTAGTTAGGCTGAGCCAATGTTCCCCAAATTCAGTCTAGTGTAATGATTAGGAGCAAAAATTCTAGAGCCAGACTGCCTGGTTCGATTCACAGCTTTCTTCTTCTATCTGTGTGACCTTAGCCAGGTTACTTAATCAGTCTGTGCTTCAGTTTCCTTGTCTGTCAAATGGAGATAAAATAGTACCTTTCTCATGGGGCTAATATGAGGTAGTATTAGAGTTAGTACTTAGAACACTATAAAGGTGTTTGTTAAGTAAAGATAACAACAAACTTCTTAAAAGAGGTTCTTAATTTTCCTGGAAAGTTATATCATGTGTTAAAATATATATACCACATTAAATAATTTACCGAAAATGAATGATCAGGAATTCTATCAGAATGAGGAACTAATGAATGCTCACAAAAATAAGATGTGGGGGGAAAAAGTCTCATAGACCCTGGAGAAAATTTAAGTTTTATTGGAATCTCACTGTTGTGTTTTTCGTTTGTTTGTTTATCACCTGAATCATTCTACACAAACTGAAATGCTTTACAATGCATATATTTTAAAGTAAGGATTATGATAAATATGGTAGAAAATAAAAATAAGTCCAGGGGACAACACTATACCAGAAGTCTACACAGCTTGTAAAATTGCCCTACTCATTTGGACTTTGAGTTTCCTAATAACTGAAGTAAAAAAGGAAATATGAGTTTAAGTCATATTGTCTGCCACGCCTCAAACAAATCAAAACTTTTAAAAATTAAAAACCATGCTAATTTATTATAAGAAAAAGGTATTTTGTGGGCAATTAGAACCAGGAAAAAGAAAATTAGAAATCTTTAGGACATGCGCATGAAGGCGACAATGAACACTGTCCCAAATAACATCTTCAAATACTTCCCCTTACTTAATGCAATTTTAGACAGGATTTTCTTATAATAACTCTCAATATAAACTGATACCACACTCTTGCTACTTCGCTCAATGATGAGAATCTGGCAAAAGGTCTAAATGATGTGGTCCAATTATTCAGGTTTTCAATATTCTGATTATAACTTTCTACAGAAATGGATGGAGCATATGTCCTTTAAACTCCTGTCCCCGCATGTAGTTCCTCTCAACTGAGCTTTGACAAAAGGTGAGCTACAGACAGTTTGAGGTTATGTACACGGACAAGGGCCTGAGGTGCTACTGATTAAGGGAAAATCCACATGCTTTAGAAATTGCCCGAGCTCCTGATAGAGGTGACAGCCCTACTGTTAGAGAATGTTTCTCAGACGCAGAGGACACGGGCACCTGTTGCTCTTTGCCACTTTGTATTATGCGATTCTGAAGTTAACAACAACAGACTCCGCTCTTGGAACAATTTGGAATGCTGCTTTGCATAATTCAGAGAGCGGGTTAATAACAGGTAGCCATATCTCAGCTCACATAGAAACTAACAGCAAGGGAACCGAATTCTAATTCTAGCACCCATCCATTAAGTCATATGACCTTGAACAAGTCATCGCACCTTTCTGTGTCATAGCTTCATCATCTATAAAATAAAGAAACTGAGTACATTTCAGGCCCTTAGCATTGGGCGATTTGCGTGTGTGTGAATGATGACTGGGGAACTGCGCTCATTAAATGCTTGTCTGTGTGCCCATTCCCTTTAGAATGATTTTCTGTACTGTGAGCATTTGTCAGTTGTCTCTAAACAGGCTTCATGGCTCTGATTTCACCAGTTGTTAAAAGGGAGAACGCCAAGCCTCATTTTTCTCGTGGACTAAAGGAGCCATGGCCCAGGGCACGAAGGGATGTCCCTTCACACAGGTGGCTGTGGACCTTGTCTGTGGCCGCCTCTGGGAAGGAGGCCGCGCACTTTTCTTGAAAGTGTGTCTTTTGGAATCTCAGTTATCCATGAAAGAGATTCTTCAGCTTTATCCAAATGTCAAGAAGTTTTCTTCCGCCACATGAGTCTTTCAGAAGGAAAATCCGAGGAGGGCAGCTGTTGTCCGCAGCATGTTCTTGATCAACACCCCACGTGTGATTCTTACCAAGTGCTGGTGAATCAGTGCATCTCTATACAACTGTTTCCCCCTCTCTTCCAGCACCAAGGAAAAATTGGAGTTAAATTTAATGTTGGGACAGACGACATCGCCATTGAGGAGTCCAATGCAATCATTAACGATGGGAAATACCACGTGGTCCGCTTCACGAGGAGCGGCGGCAACGCCACGCTGCAGGTGGACAGCTGGCCCGTGATCGAGCGCTACCCCGCAGGTAAGCCGGTGCGTGTGTGTCGGGGCAGATTTTGCGGAAAACAAAGCACTGTTTTGCGTTCGTTTCACCCAGTTGTGGGTTTTCTGAGAGACCATCAAGTATTGATCGGGCTTTAGAGTCATGTGAATGTGCTGCTTCCTAAACTGTTCTTGATACGGTGTAAAAATGGCATTTTATAGAGGAACTTGAAGGCACACGGTATCTTTTGCAAATTGCAGGACATCAGTGAAACCAGAAAAATGCACACATCAAAGGCTCACCATGTCAAAGCTCTTTTTACCAGATCCTTGCATTTGAACAAAGGAAAGGCTTTGTCAAAAGTAACAGAGTTAACATTGAAAGCTGAGGGAGGGACTGTTACAACCCTGTTCCCTGAGAGGAAACCGAGCCAGATGATCCCTTCGGCGGTGGTGTGTAACTGAAACTCGTGAGAGGTGAAGAGGGCCCAGGGACAACCAGAGAAACAGTAAAGGAACTATTTATAGTACCGTCAATCAGCAGTTATAAGAACATGAAAATAAATGGAGTCTGTTTTCCCTGTCAAATAACCATGGGGTTTCACGAGGATTCTGACACTAACGTTACTCATTTCAAGCCCCTGAAATGAATGTGAAGCTATTGTAGAGAAAAAGAAAAAAGATCGTGTTTATAGCTAATGAGCTTTGTGAGCATTGGGTTACTGAAACAGAGGCAGTAGGTTTGAAATGTAAATCTGTGTTACTCATGGTTGTATATATTCTCAATTAAAATAACATTTTATTTTAAAGTAAAGTACAAATTGAAAGAATAAATTTTACTGGAATTTACAAAGGAGATTATTGAAAGCATCAGTCTCATTTCTCTCTGCTCCTCTTTTAGATACAACTGTATTTTGACAGTAGATTTATAGCACAGTATGAAGAAAGAGTGTAAAAAGAAATTTTCATTTTGTACAATAGCAAGTACCAAAATGTATCTATAAACTCCTCTATCACAACTGTCTTATTCTTGGAAGAAATAATTTGAGGAAATAACTAACTTACTAAATAAAGATCCATTTTCTTTACTACTGACTCACAATTATGGAATCAAATGTCTGTGACACCCTTCTGAACCTTTGCTGACTTATAAAATTTTATATCTTCAAACCTCATTTCTAACCTATTTTATAAACTTGGTGCTCTCCAAATATTTGTTCAATTAAATGTAATAAAAAACTGCTCTATGACAAAATTTAGAAGCAAGCACATTAATAACAACTGCCTGTTATAGTACTTGCAAATAGTAGGCACTCAGTGAACATTTGCTGAATTGATATTCTGGGGAATTACCCCAATTTTACACTATAATGATGAGAATGTATACCTTCTGTTGCCATCTATAATAAGATGAAGGAATGAAAGATCTGGAGGAAAGTAACTAAATCTGCACACACTGTTCCACAGCCCCTGGTAATCCCTTATTGCATTTACTGAAATCCTAGTAGAAATGTTTTGTTTTTAAATAATAACTACAGCCTCAGTGGAATTATAGAAAAGTAAATTGGTGAATTTCCTACGATACGGATTGATCAATACCTCTTTACTGAGAGGTAGTCATGGCACTGGACTCCATAACAAATATAAAGTAGGGTAAATTCTAGGCCCTGCTCCTGCAATGTGTTAACTGTGAATAGTGGACCTGAACATGTAAAATGATAAATTTTATTATTATTATTACACAGCAGCAGTTGCTTCTTGAACCATAGCTTTGTTTTACCAGTTAATGCTTTAAACTTAATTTAGAAACTTTTTTACTCTTTCTATATTTTCCAAACTGGTGTCTTTAAGAATGCTGTTCTAGAGAATGTTAATGACGACCTGTGGGGGGAGAGAGGGAGTCCCACTGTTAGGTTAGTTTAAGATAGTCTGAATTAAACTGAGTTGAAAGTGTCTCTACTAGGGCTTTATTATATTAATATTCATGATGCATCTCTAAAAGGGAAGTATGGTTGGCCTTTCCCAAGCACAGATCATCAGAACCTAGTTTTCTAATGCATTAGTGCACATGGGTAAATATTTTATGGTTCTAAAATTTCCCATACCTCACTTTTACTGTAGCTTATGTGATTGAGTAGACCAGATACTGTGTACTAGCTATAGTTCAAAAAAGTTATAGACCCTGTCTTTTTGTGGCATGCTAATATCCAATTTGAATACTAGTCATTAAGATTGGGCAGTAGTGATTAAGTCAACAAATATTTGTATATTATACCTAGACTAATATTTGTTTAACAGATAATGTCTTACTTATCCATTAAATGGATGCTTAGTATAAAAACAATATAAAATATATTTAAAAATTAGAAGCCAGCAATATCATGATAATAAGGAGCCAATCTTTGGAAATAGATATTTCAAGTGCAACCTTTTGTATTTAGCTCTTTCGCCGAAAGGTATTTTAGAAAATATTAACAAACCTAGAGTGAGCAGAGTTGCAGTCATTCTGAAGGATGCAAGCAAGGGTAAGACACAGTCTGCCGTCATGGAAATTAGAGCACCTGCCAGGGTTTTGAATATATACATATAAAAAGTTAATGATCAGTATGTAAAGAGCTCACGGGAGTCACCATCGTTGCCATCAGGTATTTTATTAATCATCTGCTCTGTGCATTTCAGCATGATGCTGAGGTAGGAAATAAGCCATGGAAATGTCAAACACCCTTTTCTCTTGGAGCTTCGTCTGCAACAGCTCCATGAGGGCTGAGTATGCAGCTAAAAGTGTCATCTAGATTAAAGTTTTCAGAACAAAGTGATTTTATGTATGAGTTCAATAGAAATGTCTAGCAGATCTCTTTTATATTGGTTTGTGGGATAACTATTTTTACTTAAATTTTTTTTTGTTATTATTCATTAGAAAAACATTTGGACCAAAGCCTTTACCACCAAATTCTATAATCAGAGAAGCGGGAACCATCAGACTATACTTGGTTCCTTTTAAAGTGCCTGCACAGCAAAATATAGGTAATAAGGGTTGAAATTAGTAATTAAGTATAGCACTTAACCTTCCATTATAGGGTTTTGTGGTAAGTGCTTTTATATGAAGCAATTCATCTGGTAGCGACACTATACCTTTAATGAGAAGCACCTAAAGCGTTGACCAGTAGTATTAGTCTGTAATGGCCTGGAAGGCTTTCAGAGAGAAACTAATTAGTAGAGGTAGATTATATGCTCTTTTGGAGTGTATGAAATATTCCTGTAACTCAACAATTTACATTTTAAAATAAATAATTTTCTGAAGAGCAGACCCAATTTCTGTTCTTTTCTGTGCATGGAGCAAAGTGTAGAAATAATATTTTGCAAACCATTTAAAGTTGAGGAAACCATTTCTTGACGCTTATCAGTTAAAGCTGTAGAATATAATGCATCATTAATTTCTGATTTGCCCCTAATTACAGTTATACAGCAAAATTTTCTCTCTCAACAAAAATAGACTTCTTCGCATAATGTTAATCCACAAAGCCTAACACCATCTTGCTTGCTCAGACTAAAGATTACACCATATAAATCACAATTAACTTTGAGAATAAACCTTTGATTTTCTTTTTCTACCGCAGTGTGCCAAAAAGATGTCCTTTATGTTATATACAAGGTCAAATATTTGTCCCTGTCAAGTTAACACATCAAATCAACAAATATCTAAAGGAGGTGTACTATACTAAAGGAACATGCTAGGTTTACCATCTGGTTAAAGAGATAAGTAAAAAATATTCAAGCTTCAAAATATAATATGTGAGAAAACATAAATTATTTCATATTTGGCTAATTTTTGGATATGATGTACAAAGGAAAAAGGGAAATATGTTGTGAGGAAGAAGAGGGCATTTTGGAGTGAGTGGTCTAGAAACAAGTGGGAATTTGAAAGATTAGATTTTTACTTCGAAGAAGGTGTGCATCATTTTAATGGGACTAACAGGAAGAGAGAGACAGAAATTACTTAGAAATCTTCTAAACAGTCCAGGTGTCAAAAAACAAAGGCTTAAAATAGGGTGTGAGAAAATGAAGAGAATGAATGCAGAATACATTATAAGACCAGGGGAACAACTAAATAAAAGGGGCATCAACCCACTTTTTTAGTTTCTCTCTCTCTTTTCCTAACCATTAATTATTCAGTGTTCGAATGCTGTAGTGTATCACCAGACTGCACGAGGATCAATGAAATGGAAATCTGCTGAAGGAACAAATAGGTCAAAGACAGTTTGTGCTTGCTGAAAGTTGAGTCTGGAAGACCAAAAGGATTCAGCAAACCTAGCAATGTAAATAAATTGTGTTAATTTCAAAATGAGTAGTACAGAGTGTAACTGCTATTATAGTATAAAGACAGGAGAAAACAGTGGTCTGGAGTGGGAACAAAGTAGGTCCTAATAAGGATGTAAAGATTTGGAAGGAACAGAAGAATAGCCCGAGAAGAGACTTAGCATTTGCAAAAGGGAAGCAACTTCAAAGATCTCTATCGTGAGGCTAATCGATTTGACCACGATCACTATGCTCGTTGGGGACTCTTGTCTTCTGTCTCTGTGCACCTTACTTCATGCTGTCTAGGGGACAGAAACTAAAAGGAAGAGAGATCATTGTATGTAGCCTTCAACACAGCAGAGTACAGTTTTTATAACTAAATATTATGACTTACATGACTGGTCATAACTGCATATTTTAGTCCATCCCACAGCCTACCACTGCTGACCCACACAGACACATATATACACAGAACTATCTAAGAAATGTTAAAAATAATAACACATGGAATAAAAATAATTTTTTTCTTACAAAAATGATACTTATTTTGTTATTATTAAATTTTTGAATCAATACTACTTCTTAGTAGGCACTGATTATTTTTTGACCTAATGTTAAAAATGTTATTTGCAAATTAAGTGACCATTATGAATTATTACTATTTTACTCTTCGTACAGCACTCAACTTTCAGGTTGGCACTCTTTCCAATATTATATATTTATTTCTTTATATTTATTTTTCAGTGA